GTAGATATGTGGGGTGTGTTAGAACGAGCCGTTTTAGGGGGGCGTGGCAGAGTCTTAACTTTGATAAAGAATATCTCTTTGGTTTTGAGGCTTAGTCTTCAGGGATCTTATCTATGCACAATCAGCTTGTAACACTCCAAAGAGAAAGGAAAACTTGAAATCGCATCATATGACCCCTTTAACATTTTGCCACATCCCTTTTCTTAAAAAATAGCTTAAAGGCTGAAATGTGAGGTTTCAGTTTTTGGTCAAAACTTTATATGAACATGAAGTACATGCGAGTAGATAACATGCTATGCTCTAAGTCACCCAACCAACATCTTTTGTTCATTCAAAATTCATCCATCAGTGTTAATGTTATTATTTTAAAGTTTATGCAAACACAGAGTGCATGGCGCTGCTAATTTTATTTGTTGGTTTGGTGAATGATTTCATTGTGTGTATCAGTACTTGATTTTTGGTGACTGAACATTTTTACCACACATTTACACAATACCGTAACGATTCTGATAATCCTTTGGCGATCATTTTGATCACTATAATTGAGTTTCATAACGTTTCAGCTCTACCCATATTGCTTACCCCAAGAAAGTAAATTAATGTTCATACACTTGTTAGTCAACTAGAAAAAAAAATTGCTAGAGAATTTTGCTAAATATACTACATAATCATTATATATTTACTTAACCTTTTAGTGAAGTTTTATTTAATGCATGTTTGAATAAATTTATCATGAAAATAGGTTATTACAGTCACAATTAAAACGTTTATTTTTCAACTACAAATTAAAGTAGAAACATAATTATATCTTTATATATAAAAACAGCCTTATATGCAATTAAAATGTTTGTAAACAACTCTTTTTGATGGTTGATTATTATATCTAAAAAGCTGTTAAATTTGATGGTTTGGGCTTGTTAGTTTTAACCTTTAAAGTAATGTACCAACTGTACAGTTTACAGCTTTAGTTAAAAGAGATTTTTTTTTAATTAATGTTGACATACCTGGACTGAAACTCTTTGGTGCACAGTGAGTGTGTGATGTTCTCAATGGAGTCACACAGACAGTGTGTGTAATCATACGTTGGGTATATGCACCTGTGCACAGGACATAAGAAAGAATGGCATAACGATAATAAACAAAGATCACATCACGTGAGCGAAATAAAGTGTCTTACCAAGTGTCTCCTGTCCTGTGGTGTGGCGTGTATTTGATCCGGTACGCCACAGGGTCCATTTTTCCATCTTCCATCACCATCTTCATTCTGAGAGTGACTTCTCCCTCTGCAAACATGCCCTTTCTCATCCTGTCAAACAAAAGCAAAGATTCTTCCACGGGTCGCTCTCTCCAGGGGGAGGGAGGGACGTTGTGACCCTTGAGTTCCTCTCCACGCTGGTGGCACACGTACGCATGACCCCTGACACACAAACAAAAAGGAATCATTAGTCTATCATATAAACCACATTCAGATCCAGCACACATTAATGTCACCGCTCTGGTAATTTCACTGCTCTAAAAACAACAAGGCAACACAGCATAACACCAAGTCAATTCAACTTCAAGGATATCGATCTATCCAGTTAGGAAGCATAAGTGATTGTGAATCAGTAGCCACGTTTACATGGACACTTTTTGTTTTAATCAGAAAGAAATCATTCCGACTGATAAATCCAAAAACAGCGTTTGCACTGCCGGTCAAAATTTGGGATCAGTTTTTTAAAGTTTTTTTTAATGGAGTCACTTATGCTCATCAAGGCTGTGTTTATTTGATCAAAAACAGAAAAAAAACAGCAATACTGAGAAATATAAATATTATTGCAATTTCTAATATTGGTTTCCTTTTTTAATATACTTTAAATTATTATTTATTTCTGTGACGCACTACTAGAATTTTCAGCATCATTACTCCAGTCTTCAGTGTCACATGATCCTTCAGAAATCATTCTAATATGCTGATTTTTTATCAGTGTTGAAACTGTTGTGCTGCTTGATATTTTTTTGAAACCTGGGATACTCTTTTCTTGGATTAGTAAAGAGTTAAAAAAAACTGCATTTATTCAAAATAGAAATATTCTCTAACAATTTCTGAAGGATCATATGACACTGAAGACTGGAGTAATCATGCTGAAAATTCAGCTTTGCTTCACAGGAATAAATTATATTTTAAAGTATATAAAAAAAAAAGAAAACTGTTATTTTAAATGGCAATAATATTTCACAAAATTATTATTTTTCTGTATTTTTGATCAAATAAATGCAGCTTTGATTAGCATAAACAGCTTTTAAAAAATCTTACTGATCTTTTGAACGGCACTGTACATTAACGGTAAATATAGTGATTGGTTTATGTGCATGTTTATTTCACATGCTTCAAATCAGATTTAATCTTTTGACGTGCACACTGCACACATATACTGAATTTCCCGCTGTTTTCACATACTTTCGCATCCTCCTTTATATTATCTTTTAAAGTAAAAGTTTACCAAGTTCATTACTATGAAAGAAAGTCTAAAAAAATCATGCAAAGCCCTGAGGCGTCAGATTTGTAATCCCACCTGCGAATGAGATCAACAGCAAGATCGTAGAGAAGCTGGAAGTGATCAGAGGCGTGTGTGACAGCGTATGGTTTGTACCCTGAGTGAGAGAGAAGAACAAACAAGCAAACATCCATGTGTGAAGAATGCTCTTTAATGGAAAAGTTTGCATTTGAAACACTGTAATATTTGTCATCCAATACAAAGCCCTTTCTTTTTCCTTTTAAATATTGTTCTAAAATGTTTAAATGCATAATGCATTGGAAGCACATACTGCTGTAAAGGGTGGTACAGCAGGCATTAAGTTTCTGCTCTTCATGTTTGAGTGAATCAGCTGTAAACGGCAATCAGGTTTAGCCTGACTGCTCAAGCAAGTCAGATCTTAATACTCACCAAGCCACTCCACCATTTCTTTGATGGCAGTAAAGTACTTCTCCTCCTCTTTCTCTGGGTTTGTGTCGTCATACCGCAGGAAACAGATGCCATTATTGGCCTTCAAACAGACACATGTCAGAAAGGAATTTATTTGTTAGACATGGTTCATATGAGTGAGTCTGTGTGTGTGTGTGTACCTTGGCAAAACCAAAATTGAAATTGATTGCTTTGGCATGACCAATATGCAGAATCCCATTAGGCTCAGGGGGAAAACGGGAGCGGACCTACAAAGAAGTGGAGGAAAAGCGGGTTTCGGATTTAAACAAAATATATCCACCCAGTGGTTATTTTAAAATCCCCTTTCTCAAATCAGGCTGTTCTGAGATTCCTGTCAGAATGACGTAGTTCTGCACTAGCGTCTTACCTTAGACCTGCCCACTCACAGAGTGAGCTGTCATCAGTCCGCCATTGTGTCAAATCCGGTGCAGGGGAAGACAAGATGTCTCTGATTAAGCGATTGAGGTGTTTTGTTGTTGGATGTAAGAATGAATATAGCAGTTGTCATTTACTCCCGACATCTGAGCCGCTGAAGATGCAGAGGATTAACGTTACTTTCGTTTCTGAACGGATTGGGATCCCGATCTGCCTAAATGCGTTTATGTTCGCGCGAATCATTCTTACTACAGAAGAAGTGAGTATAAGGTTTTTTTATGAATCTTTGCAAATCGCCTTTCCTAATAATGTGCTAGTTAGCCAGTTTCGCAGCTAAAGTTTATAGACTCATGAAAACAGCTCCTTCACCCAACAAGAGAGGGGCGGGGTCAGCAGAGCTCATTAGCATTTAAAGCAACATGGACTAGAATGGCTTGCTCAAAACAGAGCTGATTTTGACAGGGTAAAAAATTGTGTTTTTTACACTACCATTGAGAAATTTTAACCAAAGTATGTTACAGACTTTTCATTAAGACCCTAAAGAGTCATATCAACTTGTGGAAAATGGGCATCCGATGACCCCTTTAATAATTATGTTTCTACTCTAATTAGGTGTTGAATTATAAACATTTAAACAGTGACTGTAATAAAAACCATGTTTTCATGACAGATTTACTCAAACATTAACTATATTGAATAACGAATGGAACAGGCTAAATAAAAATATAATTGCAATAATTGAAATTTCAGTATCAGCCGAAAATTTTCGGTTGTTGAAATATCAGCATATCACCACAAAAAAAATAAACTATTTATCTTCTTAATCTTTCATCAGAATGTAATAACCTCCGCCACCTCTGATGAAACCTAGGCCATGCAGGATAAGTATAATGTTAACCAAAAGACTTTTAAGCATCATTTAGTAAACTTGCATGCAGGTCATACCTGTCCTCCAGTCTCTTCCAAGTGCTTCTTCAGCAAATTCATGGTGTTGGACGTTACAACATATCCCTCGGTCTTGTAATTCTCCCCTAAAGAGAGAGAACAATAAACCACATGATTTCCTTTTAGTCAATTTTCTCCTGATGGTGCATTGTACAGAACTGTGCATACAGTGGTTCTGTTTCAAACTCTAGGAAGCTGCCAATGATCAACAAGTCAACAGTCTCACCTGGCTTATGGAACTTGAGCGCCTCTCCTCTCAGCTGCTCCATCAGTGATTTCCCCTCTGTGTTCGCTTCACCTACAAAGAGAAAATAGATTTTATGAAGAAAAAGTTTGGGTTCCAGGTTGCTTCTGTCCCTCTATTTTTAATCAAATATTAAGTCATCGCAAAATGAATCCATATAAATGGAGTGGTTTAAAGGGGTCATATGACGTTGCTAAAAAGAACATTATTTTGTGTATTTGGTATAATGAAATGTGTTTATGCGGTTTAAGGTTAAAAAAACACATTATTTTCCACATACTGTACATTATTGTTTCTCCTCTATGCCCCGCCTTTCTGAAACCCGTCGATTTTTACAAAGCCCATCGTTCTGAAAAGCAGCCTGTGATAAGAGAAAAAAACATTTCACAGCAGCATGGCTCACATAGCAACAAAAGAAATGTGTTACTCGTTTTAAACCAGCATGCTGCAGGTGCCAGCGGTGTGGCCAAAACTCGCCCTGTTCTGTGCATGCCTCAGAAGGAACAACTGTTAAACCCGTTTTTGTTGTTCTTGCCCGACAACAACAACTCAATCTGGCATGAAACATATGCATGGTATGGAGGTTAGATGCCCACAGTAACGTATCTACCCCGTGGGACATAATTTAGCATACACAAATTGTGATGTCATTCATATTAAAAGGTTAATAGATGGTTAATTAATGCATTACAATTTAACTAAACCTGTTAGATTTTAGTTAACTAAATCTACTGAATCTAATTTATTCGACTAAAACTAGACTAAAACCAAAACAACTGAGATGATTAAAATATGACTAAAACTAAATGGCATTTTATTCAAAAGACTATGACTAAAACTAAATCAAACTTTGCTGTCAAAAGTAACACACACAGAAAGCACCTGGAGAACAGTGTGATTAGTTCTGTCTCAGATTAAAGCGTTTTTTAATATCAACTGCACATTAGTACATTACTTCACAACTAACTGCTACATCAAAGCTTATAAAGGCATTAAGACAAATTACTTTGGAAGTCTAAAACCAGGAATAAGACTTGCAATCAAGGACTGCAGTGATGCAGCAGTTTTGGTACAACATAACCTGCCTATATACTGCTACATCATTGTGGAAAATGTTATGAGAGATTTCATTTTGTTGTGGTTTGCAACAGATCCTCACCAGCACTGTTTCAGTAGAAAAGGGGTTATGTGTGTGCCACAAGAAAATAGAGACAGTAAAAATATACCTTGGGCTTTTTCTCCAGATCTGCCTCAGTTTTTGGACCCAGAAAGTGCAGCACCTGAGAAACAATGCAAAGTTTCAGTGCTCATACACACAATGATACACAATGATTTGGACTGATTTGAGCAAGGTAGTAAAACTGTCACACAAACCTGCATATCCACTTCATTCTTGACCATCTTCCCATCAGCCCATTTGAGAGCAGTCCTGGCCTCACCTGAAGAGCACAAACCGAAACTGTTCCTCAGCAGCACCACACATGACTGTATTCACACACATATGATATGCTGCCTCACCCATGAGTATCCCCATGTTAAAGCGATATCTCTCTGCCAACAGCTGATCTTTGTGCTTCCTGATAATCAATTCAACCTGTGGGATTATTAAATTATTAATATGTCAATGACAGATTAGAACTCATGAAGCGCTAATTGAAAACTTCTTTAACGGTTCTTTTAATTCTTTCAAATAAATAATAGACAACTACATAAATGATTCTGGTCACACTTGGGATTAGGGTCCAATTCTCACTCTTAACTAACCATTAACTAACTATACTTTTGCCTCAATATACTCCTAATTACTGTTTATTAATACTAAGTAAAGTAGTTGTTGGCAATTAAGTTGGGTAGGATTCAGAATTGGGTAGGATTAAGGATTTAGAATAAGGTCTTGCGGAATAAGACATTAATATGTGCTTTTTAAGTAATAATAAACAGCCAATATCCCAGTAATATTCATGCAAATAACCAACTAGTTAATAGTTAGAATTGGACACTACAGTGTTACCAATATTCTGATTAACTCACCATTTCAAGTAAGAAGGTTACATAAAAAAGCATGCATTTTAAGGTTAGACTTTAAATTTTGATGTTAAATCCACTATTGTATTGTATTGTATATAAATATTGTCTATACACAGTATTAAGCTCAATTACATAAGAAGTAACTGTAATTAAATTACAGAAGAAATAAGAGTAATCCCTTACTTTACTTTTTCAAGGGAAAAGTAATTAAATGACTTAGTAACTAGTTACACCCACTGCCATTTCAATCCTTGGCCACTATATAAACAATTAAAAATAAATATGAGAACAAAGACACATCATTCAGATGAACCTGGTGTTTCTCATTATCATCATAAACTTTTGATTAAAAAAAGCTTTTGGTGAAACACTGGAGCAGACAGCAAAGGAAAAGCAGTCAACAAATGTCCAGCATACATAGGAACTTTGTAAAAGCATCTCAGTTCTCATCTAAAAAAGCCATTACATTCTGAAATTAGTAATAATAAAAATAAGTAGAAGAGTTCAGTTTTTGATTGCCATATTTTATCTCCTGCACGTCTGCACTTCAAAAAACCTTACCGCATCCTCTATCTGCTCAGGTGTGACCATCACTCCCACGCCACAGGCAGCCTCAAACTCAAGTCGATCCAGATTCTTCTGAGGGTGGCTTTTTATAAAGTCCAACGCCGCTGAGAAAAATATCAGAAATAAAAATGTCAGCAAGAGGTGAGATGCAAATTATTGAAGCCCTCTAAACCATGACAAAGGGTGCCGCTAATGAGCACTAACATCATATGGTGGTTAATTTATTAGTGCTGATAGATACAGATATTTCTGACAATCTAATCTTCTTTTATAAAGTTTTCTCTTCACATTTATGTTTGTGTTTTCTTTTCATTATGATTACTGTGTAAATACATTCACTTTGCATTGAAAAGTCACACAATCACAGCTGAATTTAACTGGCTTATACTTATGTGAGGGGTGCCCTTATTGTAAAACCTCTTAATCTAATTGATAACAGTAAGAACAAGAACTAGGATTAATTTTTATACTAATTAAGGCGTCTTTTTACTTTTCTCTTTCACGTTCCTTTTATATTATTTTCTTCAATTAAGTGCTGTTTGTTTTCTTGCAATAAAAATAATATTACCGTCATTTAAAAACATTAACAGTTTTATTAGAAATGCACAAAACATATGCATAATTTTGATAATCGTCAAATAAAATACATTTAATTTAAAAAGTGTAACTAATTTTACTGATTCTACATATAGAACACAAAACATTATTGGAGGAAAAAACCCAGAGTGACAGAAGAGTAAAGACAATCAGATACCTGACAGCTGCAGTTCTGAAGTTATTTTTCGTGTAATGATATATTCTGTGAGGAAAGACAGTCGATTCAAGTCTTTGAGTCGTGTCACCATATTATACAGCAGAGTGCCTGCAGTCTTATCAATGCTAGCGGACCCCAGCAGCCCTTGAGCCTGAAAAATAAACAGTAACATCAGCAATAATATTACAAGTCTTTTCCAAATACTTCTTGTAAATGTAACGAGTAAAGAAACTGTCACGTAAGTTCTCTAGAGGCTGGTGAGGTTGGCAGCTATGTACCTGGTCGATAGCCTTCTTGAGTGTTGATGAGAGTGCTTCATTTTTCAATGTTTCCTTAGCTTTCTGCTCACTAAGGCCAATTGACATGAAGATAGACACCGCGTCCGCCATTTCTCTTCCTGCACACACGCCGGTTTACCCTTGCGCCAGCCCCGCAGGAGCACAGCCCTCAGCAAGCGTGCATTCGGATTGGAACGAACCATGATTCTCCAATCAGATTTGTGCATCCTTCCACCAATAATCGGTGCGCTTCTGTTGACACACAGTTGCATCAGTCGAGCATTGCCACGTGAAGTGCAACAAATTGTTAATAAATAAATATCTTTAAATGTTTTGAACTAAATTATGTAAAGGACCTCTAGGACAGTTTAGCCTCGCTGATGTAACGTTAAGTGTACAGATCAAGACCACAGTGGAAAAAGACTGGAAGTCGCCCAGGGATCCGTGAACGTTTTAGGACATTTAGAAAAAACCTTAGCAGCCCAGACGTTCTCTCTAATGGTTCTCTCTAATGATCTATTTAAATAGTTAATTGTCATATTTTAATTATTTACTGTTTATTTCTTTTCTGTGGACTCTAAAAATGTTAATGTTTTATATATGTGTGTGTGTTTGTGTGTACCTGTTTTTCTATTCTGGTGGGGACTTTACTTTTACTTTACTTTTAGTCATTTAGCAGACGCTTTTATCCAAAGCGACTTACAAATAAACTTAAAAAGACTTAAACCTGAATACACACAGACTCATGGGGACTCGTGTCACGGTGGGGACCTAAATTGAGGTCCCCACGGGTAAACAAGCTAATAAATCACACAGAATTAAGTTTTTTGAAAATCAAAAAATGCAGAAAGTTTCCTGTGAGAGGTAGGTTTAGGGGTAGGGTTGGTGTAGGGCAATAGAATATACGGTCTGTACAGTAGAAAAACCATTACGCCCAGGGTTTGAAATTAACACCCGCCAACCCGCCAAATGCACTGCGGTCAGGCCAGCCTCCACTTTGAAAAACACGGTCATTCTAGCCCCCACGTTGTTTTGTGCGCGCATATACTAGGCGTTACGGTAATAGCTTATAAAACTCAGATCAAGGGAAAGCGTTCAAGCTCTCATGCGTTCTCTCTCGCCCTCTCTCTCTCTCTCTCTCCCCCCTCTCATGCGTTATGTCTCTCGCCTTCTCTCTCTCTCTCGCTCTCCTCTCATGCGTTATGCCTCTCGCCCTCTCTCTCTCTCGCTCTACTCTCATGCGTTATGTCTCTCGTCCTCTCTCTCTCTCTCTCTCCTCTCATGCGTTATGTCTCTCGCTCTCTCTCTCTCTCGCCCTCTGTTCTGCCTGTGAATTTGGATAGCTCTAAAATGGAAACTCCCTTTTTCCACAGACTAATTTCAATTCAGATTACTAGTCCAGTACCCCAGGGTGTCCCTCAGCCAGTTTCAGGACGATCTGATTTTGCATTACAAAATAAAAGCCCTCCAAACATTCATATATGACCAGTTTTGTCTTTGATTTTGAATAGCTCTAAAAAAGGAAACTCCCTGTTTCCACAGAACAATTTCTATTCAGATTGAGAGTCCAGTACCCCAGGGTGTCCTGGGGGAACCCTGGAAATAGGAAATAGAAAAAATAGAAATAGAAATAGAAATAGAAAAAAATCTATTCAGATTGACAGTCCACTACCCCAGGGTGTCACTCGGCCAGTTTCAGGACGATCTGATGTTGCATTACAAAATAAAAGCCCTCCAAAAACTCATTCTACCTGTTCTGCCTGTGCATTTGGATAGCTCTAAAAAGGAATCTCCCTGTTTCCACAGAACAATTTCAATTCAGATTGACAGTCCAGTACCCCAGGGTGTCACTCAGTCAGTTTCAGGACGATCTGATGTTGCATTACATAATAAAAGCCCTCCAAAAACTCATTCTACCTGTTCTGCCTGTGAATTTGAATGGCTCTAAAAAGGAAACTCCCTGTTTCCACAGACTAATTTCAATTCAGATTAATAGTCCAGTACACCAGGGTGTCACTCAGTCAGTTTCAGGACGATCTGATGTTGAATTACATAAATTTTTATGAAGAGTTCATTTGCAAAAAACAGATTACTCATAATAACAAAATAATCAAAATAACAGATAATTTTCAAAAGTCATGTTTTTCATTGTGCATTCCAATTAATATCAATCAAACTGCAGTTGGGTTATTTTGATTAGGTTAAAATATTATATTATTATAACTAAAAAAACAGCTAACTAACACAATGAAAACATGATCACATCATAAAAAACATTTTTGAAAATTAAAAAAAAAACGGAGTTGTCTTTTTGCAAATTAACTCTTTTTCAAATAAACTATTGTTTCATAGTCCTTAGTATTAAGAATAGATTTTAAATTGATCAAATCTATTCTTAATACTAAGGCCTATGAAACAATAAAAGCATGTATTACATTTTTACACCGAACTGGACTTTATGTTAGGATATAATCCACTAAGAGGAGTTCTTCAAGTAAACTGAGGAGGGCAGCAATACGCCTTTGATGTGTCTGGTCGTCTGCCGCTGATCTCAGAAGAAGAAGAAGCAGCAGAAGCAGGATGGACTGTACAAACTATGTAGGCTACGATTTCAATTTGTTTATTGTGAAATAACTCAAACATATGTTTTTTTCTGTCCTCTGATAAGCATCGTTCAGGGCTGCTGTTCCCAAAAGCTTTAATGCTTTCTTATGATACTTTTGGGAAACGCAGCCCTGTTTGAATGCACTGTCAGCAGTGAGTGAACGCTCTCTTTGATTGATTGGTTCTGTCTTGCAACATTTGTGTGTGTTCAGATGAGCAGGAAAATAGTTATATCCCACACAGTTACTTGCGAACAAAGGTTATTCGTCCAATTCAATGCATTTGTACACATTATTATTTTAAATAAACAAAATCACTGGTAAATAAAACCCACCTTAGTATCGATATTTTTTTTTTGTGAATCGATACTTTCGATACTCGCATCAGTATCGCTATATCGATACTTAGGATCGATACGCCCATCCCTAGCCGTCATTTACTAGACGGTTCGATTTGTATCTCAGATGCCAATCCTTGGCATTATTAGAGCAAATTCCAATATGAAATAATAAAACATCTTGTATATAAAAACAAACAAACTGCGATTTGAATGCACCTTGAAGGAGGATTTCTCTTTTTGAGTCGTCGAGCGTCCCTTGGAAGAATGTGCATTAAGTTACACATTAGCTAGCAACAACGCAATGGATTACAAAACACTTTTGTACATGCACGAAGATATATTACGTATACTGGCATAGTCTGTCTCATTTGTGTCTCTTTGTAAGCTACAGACCTTATTCATTTGAACTTTTCTTATGTGCAAGCCATAGATTTGTGTGTTTTCATAGCATGCATTTTAATCTGTTTTAGTTAATTTTATTATTTCCTTTAATGTATTTTTGTTATCACAGTAGCTGACTTGAATTGTCCTGGTGGTGTAAGGAACAGAGCTACATAATGTCCCTGCATGCTCTGCTCTCTGCGGGTTGTAAGGCATGGCGGTCACTGTCATGTCCCCGGTCAGAGCTTCGGCTGGATCTCACTCTGGGATGTGGACAGACTTTCCGGTAAACTATACTGTTTCATTGCTGTCTTCAACAGAAACTTTTCTTATAGGGGTTGCATTTTATGTTTTTGTTGCATTTTATTAATTCCCTGATGTCCTTTTATAATTTTAGTCATTATTTCTTACTCCAAAGTCAATCAGAATTTAAATTGGACACCTCTCTGGGCCTCAGAATGAAACGGGCTGTTTTCGATACTGTACCTTTAAGATGTCTGTGTGTAAATGACTGGTCCACCTCCTCACATGTGATATAATTAACAACACCCCCACCAAGCTACTGATATACTGATATGAAAATATGGGCAGTATTTAAAAAAAAAAAAAAAAACAGTAAGCAGCGTACAATACAGTAGCACCTTGTAATTAGTAAACTAGTATTCCATTCTGAACAAAGCCTTAGAATTAAACAAGCTGTGTTTTTGATAATGCATATGAACTTCTGTGTTTAGTTTTCCATTATACAGTATGACCATATTGCCCATCCTTTTAGATGGCGTGAGACTGGAGATGGTCACTGGACGGGAGTGATGCGAGGAAAAGTGTGGACACTAACTCAAACAGAGGATACGTTATGGTACTATGTTTACAGTCATCAAATAAATCCAGGAACAGAAAACAAACAGAAATGGAAGGTGGAAGAGGAGGAGCAGTTATTGGGGAAGATGTCAAAAAGAAAGACTGACATGAAGCAGGAAGAGGCGGGATTTTGCACAGTGATGTCAGAGCCTGACAGCAAAGAGGAGGAACTTCTGAGGGACTATTTCCAGTTAGGTGTTAAATTAGGGGATCTCTACAGCGACTGGAGCACCGTAGATCCACACTTCAAACATACAGCAGACATCTTCACAGGTACATGTCTCGTGAAAGGAATAGTTCATCCAAAAATGAAAATTTGTTAATAATTTTCTCATGTCATATGATTTTCCACTGAACACAAATGCAGTGTTTGCCTGAATGTTCTTGGTGCTTCCATGCAATTGAAAGCATATATTGCGCTTTCTTATAATGTTGACACCCTTGGTAAGAGTAAAGCATGCTGTAGAAAAAATGTATTTGCCTTTTTCCTCTTTCCTCTTTTAGGCAAAATATTGACTTTAGGTTGACATTAAGTAAAATAATTGAAAAAAAATTACGTTTTCCCCAAATGTTTTATTTCTCGATATATGTGTACAAAGATATATTGGGAACCCCTACAATTAATACTTCATCTAGCCCAGCACTTGACACCCCCTGGTCTCTGTATGTTTTCAAAATCACATGTGTGGGACAATATGTGATTTTCTCCTTTTAAGCTGCACCAGGTGTGATTTTTCTCTCATTAAAAGAAGATTTGCACATATAGAACTGAATAATAATTTTGAAAAATGTAGATCCAATTGAACATACTTTCGAGAAACAGATTAATCATGGCTGAGTGCATATCTACATTACAGTAACATCTGTAACTGAAAATATTCGAGAGGCTGCATTAGCATTGCTAGGTGTCAATATACATCCAAGACACCTAACATATTTGCATGTGCAACATAATCCAAAATATACTGAGTTCACCTTTAACAATGTAGATGAAAGGGTCTTT